TGTTGTCAGTTTAAAAGAGATTACCAAGAATAAAAAAGATTGACAATATGATTGTAAAAGGGCACTCTATATAGAATGCTATTATGTCTTCCTATTTGTATGGTGGCTAATTAATTCATTGAATGAAAAAAGTGATGCCAATGTCCTTTTCATACTTGTGACTTAAGAAAAGAGGAAAAGTGGGCTCCAAAAGATAAAATTAATAAAACAATGGAGTCATTTTCTTTCTTCTATAACCATAGAAATAAGCTTTAATTAAGAAGCAGACACCTTGAACTAAAAGCCAAATGAGAAATCTACAAAAAGACAATGTGTGTGTATAATAAGTTTACCTCTCAAAGACCAATACACTCATAAAATTATCTTGAACAGAATATATACAAATCTTTTGATGTCATATGGTATACACAAAAATGTGAAATTATAATTGTTATAAGTTTTCATAACAAGGGTAATAAAAAGAATAAACATTGCTAAGAGTTGCAAAAGATAGCTAGTTTTAGAGAACTATGATACTGCACATACAGAAGGAACATGGCATAATCTTTTTAATCATTTTATCCTAAGCAAGCCAATAAAACCACTAAAATGCAAATATGAAAGAATATGACAAAAAGAAAAACATTATTAAGGAAAGAGAACAATAAAAAGAACAGGTTTTAAGAAGACAGACAATGATTGACATTACATTTAAATTTTTGAAGATCAAATTTGACTGAAAAGCAAGAGTCCAGAAGAGAGTTCCATAAGTGAGAAGTGTGAGAGAAGAAATTGTTAGAATAAAACTTATGATTGCATCTAACAATTGCAACTGTAAAATGATGAAATGCCAATTTAGTACTGTGCTTAAATGTGTAAAGTCTAGGTCAAGACAATCTCAGAACAATTTTCATGAAAATATTTATAGAAATGGTACAGAGAAGCTATATTATGGCCATGGGAAAATGACTGAAGCTGAGATGACAGGCAGGACTGATAACATTGCAGATTCTTTTTGGAATTTTAATCTCTAAATACATAACAAAAACATCAGACCAGATATGACAGCAACATTAACTGCATGGATGAATGGTTGACTTATAAATGTGTAAGAGCAAATAATTAATTCACTATAATCTTTCCACTTCATGTCAGTGGAAAATGTTAGCCTAAGAAGAAGTGTTTCATTTTGGAGTCATTAAAATTAGCCAGCCATTTCTTGCCCCAGATTGGAGGTCAGTTTAAACTCATTGAACTGATCAAACGTACCATTAAGACAGGAGTAAATAGTTGTGTTATCAGCATAGATACTAAGTTGAGAACTGATGATATCGGGAAGGTCATTGATGAAAATTAGGAACAACTTAGGCCTGAAGATGGAGTCCTGAGGGTCACACACATTAATGCAAAAAGATTTAGAAAAGTGGCCATTCAAGACAACTTTCATTTCACGATTTTGCAACCAGCATGTCAAACCCTGTCAAACACATTTGAGATATCCAAATTCACAGCCTGAGCTTCACCAATCTTATCTAAAGCTTGACAGATTCTTTCAGCAATAAGCATTAACACATCAGCAGTTAACCTAGAGAAACAAAAGCCATATTGCTTGTCTGAAAGAATGTTCTGCAAGGTGAACTGCTTAACCAATTCAGAGTTGTGTAGTTAAAAAATAATAGAAGGCTAATAGACTGAGAGAAGAATCCAACAGTTCATTTGAGTTCTTAAAGACTACACTTCATTTGAGTTCTTAGAGTGTAACTACAGAATAGAATTTTCAACAAGCTGGAAAGCAAGAAGCAGCAAGGCATTTATTGTAGAGTTTGAAAAGAACATTTCAGGAGCACATTTCTTAAGGATTATTGCAGTGATACTGTCAAGTCCACATGCTTTGTGGGAATCCAGTTTGGAGATGATAGAAAAAAAAACCATGGATGGAGTTGTATGCATATTGCATTGAAGAAACTCAGTTATAACTGGAAAGTCAGGCAGAGATACTCCAGATAAGTCAAGAGTAGAATTGGAATAGAATTTACAAGCAAAGCATTCAGCTTTCTTAGTAGATCAAATTGAATGAAGAGAAGAGGGATAGAGGATGTACTTATTTGATGCACTATTATAACACCATCAATAGTAATAAGAACCTGTTAGAGGCTATGCGGTGCTTCATTCTGTCAGCAAACAAAAACGTAGCCTCTTTTAGGACACATTTGTTATGATTGTACACATCAGTGATAGGGAAAAAGTGATTCCTGTGGGCTATAGTGGCTGAATAGGCAGGTGTGAACCAAGGAGAAGAGACATGAAAGAAGAATATCTGTTGTAAGAGAAATCTTTATTGACATTTTTTTCATTTAACATGAAAATGCTTTAATTACTTTTCTAAAATGACTTGTCAAAGTTTGATTTAATGTCTATGTAAAATAGTTCTTTATTTAACTTATGATAAGGATAAAATATATTAAACAAAATATCAAAACTTTATTCAAACAAAAGGCTTCAAATGAATTAATCTTATCAATCTTAAAGACTATTCTTGATCAGATATGAAACCACAAATGAAGAGCTTTACCAAATGACGAAAATACTTTTAACACTTAAAATTAGTAGCACATGTAACTAGAAGAGAAAATAATGATATAATCAATCTGTTAACTTTTAACACTACCAAAAACAAAAGGATTGAAAGGAAACTCCCATCAGTATTAGAAAAATGGATTTGAGAACTCTAATTTCCTGAAAAACTGTTTCAAGAAATAGATTTTATAAATTTCAACTTAAAGAAATAGTAACTGTTCAGTCATTGAATGCCAAATGTTTCCTGTATAGAAACAGCTGATTTCACCTTCACTATTATTGTATATAATAACTGTAATTTCTGGTAGTTGATGAGAAAATAAAAATTATTAAAAGTTATATTTTATTGCTGACTATATTTAAGTATAATATATGTAGGTAAGGTTACAGCTTTTCTTAGTGCTGCCCACTGACTGTACCATTACTTTACCACTCTCTTTCTATCAGCTTTTCTACACTAATAAATTAAATATTTCTAGTCAAAGAAATAAAAATTTGATGATTTAAATATTAAATTTTGTTATTTCTTAATGTAAAATTTGTTTTTGCATTTTGCTACTAACTTTAAATTAATGCAAACATTGCTTATAGAATGTTACATATATAATAATGGTAAAATTAAAAAATATTAACTGAAAATGTATTTGTTTTAATTCTGGGATTATGTTAATACACAATTTTTTATAAGCAACTTAGTTATTCTGACCAGGACTCAAGTTGTTTAATTTTGAGGCAAGAATTAGTACTCAAGTTGCTTAAATGTTTATTTTGTTTTGTTTCTAATAAATAGAAAAGAAAGATATTTCTTTGTAACTAAACTAGTAAAATTGGTAGTACTTAAGTTGTTTAATATTGAAGCAAGAATTAGTACTCCAGTTGCTTAAATATTTTTATGTTTGGGTCTAATAAACAAATCCACAAGTTAATTGTGGTCAAAGTCATTCTACTGACTAAAAATACAAATACTCAACAAATCCTCAGAAATCAAACTGGGTTTGCTTCAAAAAATTTTCCTCGTCATTGTTTGTTATTTTTACTAAGTTCTGTGTGCCCTTTGACCTTCCTTGAATGCTTGTTGTATTTTAGAATAATAATGAATCCTACCCCACAAACCTTCACACCGGGGATGGGGAGTGTATCTAGGATAACCTATACACTGATCTCATTACCTCTTCCTGAGCTTTGTAACTGCTATCACATCTGTGCAGTCCTAAGTTCATTGACTGCTCTTTCTTCATTCTTTCTTTTTATGTGCCATGTCCTTTCAGGACGTAGGCAATCATGGCTCTCCACCTTCCTCTATCCTTTGCAGCTCTTAACCAGTTCCTTTCCTCTGCCATCTCCCCCAGACCATGTTCTGTCATCCACTTGCTTAAGTCCGCCAGGTATGTCATGCGTTGTTTTCCTTTGTCTCTCTTTTCCTCTATTCACCTGCCATAAAGAATGTCACATAACAGATCAGTATTCTTTTCTTTGTTACCAAAGAAATTCTCCTGTCTCACAGTACACTGCCCAGCTCTTGAGATGTGTCCTTGGTCATCCCAATATGTCTATGGATCTCAGTGTCACACTTACCGTCCTCTGTCAAAATGCTTCCCAGATATTTAAACATCTGTGTCTGCTTGATTCTAATGTTCCCAACCTGCAAATCAAATTTCGGACTCATCCTTTTATTGATGACCATGCATTCTATCTTCTTGTAGTTTATGCTTTGTCCCTTCTTCTCACGCTCCATCACTACCTTCTGCAAGAGATTTTGTAGTTTCTTTTCCATGTCTGCTATCAGCACTGTGTCATTTGCATATCTTATGTTGTTAAGATTGTGGCTGCCAATGCTAAATCCTGGTTGGGTTTTCAGTTCTCTCAGAATTGCCTCACTGTATAGATTGAACAGGTAGTGGAATCAAAAAGGAAACATATACTTAAAATCAAAGAGAGATTAAATTTCTAAGAAACATAATAAGGAAAGAGGTCTTGGAGAATTCAACACTCACAGGACATACTGAAGGCAAGAGAGACAGAGGGAAACAACAAATAACCTACCTAGCAGGTTTGTGTAAATGGATGACAGAACAGGAACTGGGAGGGATGGTGAAAAGACAAAACTTATTAAGTACTACAAAGGATAAGAAGTTGTGAAGAGCCATGACCACCCATGTCCTGAAGTTATATGGTATATAGAAGAATAAAAAGTAGAGAAGGAAGACATTCATACATTACTAAAGTCAATATTCTGTTTACTTATTGGATTATCAGGGTGTGTGGACAGATACCATTTACCATTGCTCTTTTGTCAGCCATACTAGATAACTCTTTATCTAAATTTAAAAAATAAGGAAAAGTTTTGGTGAGCAATGGGGAGAAACATATATCTATTTCTCAAATAATTATAAAATCAACAAAACTGACTGACAGCTCCTTTTTTTGTTACTTCATCCATCCAGTTGCCTGCCTGTCTATCTAAGTCTGTTCTTTCTTTCTATCTCAGTTTGTTCATTATCTATCTAACTCAGTCTGTTCTTTCTATCTATCTTTATCTGTTCATTATCCATCTATCTACCTCAGTCTGTTCTTTTCTATCTTTTCATTATCTATCTCAGTCTGTTCTTTCTATCTATCTCTGTTCATTATCTATCAATCTCAGTTTGTTCTTTCTTTCTCTCTATCAAATGGACACCCAAAAAACACAAGCATACATTTCTCCAGCCACTGTTACTATTCTGTTAAGAGAACCAGCTTTAAAGTTTTATTGATTGTGTGTTGAGTTGATTTTTTTTATTTGTTTGCACCAATAATTAATAGGAGCAAAGCTCTAACTTGATCAAAAATTAAATCAACCAAGTCAATTTGGTTCATCAACTGTGTGTACATAGCCACATAGATCACAAAATTTATCATTCATTCATCAAATTCAGCAGAATACATCTTCATTATTTCCTTCTTAATGACAAGTGGTATTAATTTTACCATCTCCTTTTCAGTTGACAGTCATATACTTAAACCTGTCACTGTCAACTGATATTGCTCTCCTATATAGCAAAGTACATCAATGATAGTCTCTCCAGATAAATTTATGATGAATAAAAATCAGCATTTATTTCTTTATAAAGCCAACATTCAAATTATTTCTGTTATCAAATAATGTAATGCACAACTTTGTATTTGTCTACAAGTTAAACTTACTACTATATAAATTATATAAACAGAAGTATTCTGTTTATTGTCATAAAAGCTACATCCTTTGTTTGTTACAATTTCTAATACTCCTGAAAAGAATCATAAAATGAATCCGTTTACAAATATATTGTCTTTGCAAGACAGAAAATAAAAATAACAAAACTTTATAGAAAAAAATTAATTTAAACCCTCATTTCCAAAAGTAATATTATCATTAAATTTTTTTGATCTCTCTTGTTTCACGGTTAATTTAAAATAATTTGAAGATTCTTTTCTTAAAAATATTTACATAGCTTTCCAAAATTATAATATTAATAACAGAAGTTTAAATATCTAGGAAGCATTTTGACAGAAGATGGTAAGTGCAATGCTGAGATCCATAGATGTATTGGGATTCCAAAAGCTGGGCAGAGTATTGTGGGACAGGAGGATTTCTTTGGTAACAAAGAAAAGAATACTGAGCTGTTATGTGACATCTGTCCTTCTTTACAGCAGTGAATGTTGGACAATTTCCTCAAAGATGAAGAAAAGATTTGAGGCAACAGAGGTGTGGTTCTACAGAAGGATGCTAAGGATATCATGGACGAAGTATATGAGCAACGATGAGATCTTAGAGAGGTTGCAAACAAGAAGAAAGCTTATACTTAACTTCAGAAAGAGGCAGCTGAAAATTCTGGGACACATAATGATGGAGGAGGGCCTGGAGAATCTGATACTCATGCGTCAAATAGAGGGAAAGAAAGATAATACATACCTGATGAGCTTGAGCAGGTGGATGACTAAACATGGTCTTGGGGAGGAAACAGAGGGAAGGAATGTTGAGAGGTGCAAGGGATAGAGGGAGGTGGAGAACCATGATCGCCTATGAATATTGACAATGTAGTAATATTATTTTATTCATTACTTAGATGAAACATTCTTTGTTATTAATATTTGTTTTCTTCAGCTAGTTTTTCTTAAATTCACACTTTATATTCAAACTATTATCCTTATCTTTGTTGTTATTATTATGTCTCAGCCATTATTCTATCCAATCTTCCTGAGTTGTAAGCCATTGTCCCATAGGAGCCTTAAACCTGTTAGGTTTCACTGCAGCAATTTGTCCTATGAAACAACAACCTAGTGGATTAAAACATTGATTTGTGAATTTGGTGGCATATTGGTTTTGAGTTCAATCTCTGAGTTTGGCAGTGTGTATTTGGACTCAGTGAAAACAGGTAAGCAAGAGAGAGGTACTATAAATAAAAACTAGATGATATCCCTAAGCATCGGCAGTGGAAACATATTGAAGTATTGAAACATGGACTCTTCATTCACTATGCGTAGAACATCTACCCATGGAAGAGAGACAAAAAGTGGGTCACAAAGGCATAGTGCTTTCTGGTCATATGCTTGTCACACAGAATTACTGCATTTTCATTTCATGTCCCCATGTGATTAATCCTTAATCACTCAATCTTTTATTTACAGTGTTTTCCTTACAGTCTTACTAACCAGCAACTATGTACTTTATACAAACTTTATAAGAGTTACCCAGATCAATATACATCTGAGAAAGACCAGAGGACACAATGACTGAAACATTGTGATAACTACAAAGATGTGGACAATAGTCCAAATATAAATAGTGTCAATAATAATAACTCCTCATCACAGAAATTCAGATCATAGTTTTTCTTTCATCTTAATTACAGCTGCTTTTTATTGCAGTTCTGAAACCAACATTCTATGGCTTTTATTTAAGCAATGTAGGTCAGAAATAAAGACTAAGCCTCCAGTGAGAATCAAAATCACAGCTGCCTTACTGATTAGGCTATGGAGGCTTCCAGCTGCAGTTATTTAAATCTGATTAAAGAACTGTTCCTTATCTTCCCCTACTTTTTAATACATCACTATACAGTAGTAATAGTAATGTTATTCTTTTTAATTTCTTACATGAAGCATTTTCAATTATTATTAATTTTTCAGTGAGTATTTCTTTCTTCTTAATCTTGGTTTCTTTTTATCACAACTTCTAAGACTGATATTCTACTGCCATTATTAAGCAATATTGATTGAAAATAAAGAATAAGCCTTCAGTTAGTCAAATAATTTGTAAATGATTTTTTTTTAAATCAAAATAATATTACTATAAGTACTACTCAATGATGACCCCTCCAACTACTACCACCAAAGATCAGAAAAAAATGTCACAGGCCCCTGTAGTTTTTTTTTTCCACAAGGGGTTGATGCACTTTTCATCTATGTTCATAGAGGAGAGTAGTTGGGGGTCATTAGGGCCGTGTGTCAAGAGTGCTGTTTTTTGTTTTTTAAGTTTGAAGAATAAAGCATTTAAGGTAATGTCATATCTAGTTATTTGGGAACACTCTCAATCAGAAACTAAGTGGCCTGTGTTACCCAACCTAAAGTTATTTCAAACTGAACTCCACCTGGAAGGTTCAGTGCTGTTTTTATCAAAACCTGTTACTATAATGTGCAGATTTGACTGTAATGCATGTGCCTGGTGTACCCTTATCAGACCAAGTGGTATGGTGATTTTCTAAGCATAACTTAGATGTGGCACAAAGCCAAAAGTCCCCAGTGAGGATCAAACTCACTATTCAGTCATAATTGTTGTAGTGAGGCAAACTTGCTAACCATTACACCACATCATGGTGACCAAAAATGATTTTCTAAGTGTACCTTAGATGTGGCACAAGGCTGAATGTATAGGGTACCCAGTGAAGATCAAACTCACTCAAACTGGGTGTTATGATGGGTATACTGGGACTTGTATATTTGTACCACAAAGGCACTTTGTTGGCATTCTGTTCTTTCACTCAACAACAAGAAAATTAATGCTCTACAAAGGAGGGGTAAAGAAAAAGAAAATGCACAATTGGAAACTGCCTTAATTATCATATTTATTTTGTCAATGGTAAAATTAATAAAAAATTAATGTCTAAAATATTTGTAAACTGATCTCTCAAAAGTGTCTACAATTGCACAAATATGAGTATCAAACATTGAAACAAATTTAATAATTACAAAAATAGAAAAGCAACAAACATTTACAAATTGGTGCCTAAAAAATTTGTGGATGCATTTTTGCTGTCTGTTATGGAATTTCAAAGCAATCTTATTTACTAATAAAAGAGATGAGAAAGAAAAGTTAAAACTGCTCACAAAAAAATAAATATAATAAAACAACAGTTACATTTACTTTTATGAGAAATGCTTCAACTTCAATGAATATGTCTCTTATATACAGACATGAATGAAAAAACTTTATATATATATATACACACGCATATACATGGGAATATATAATTTCCAATAGCTCCATTGTATATATCTTAACTGTAAATTACACCCAAATAACATAAGAACATCACATATATATATGTATACACAGCTATAACTCATGTAATTGTAAATAGACATATATAAATACACATCCATCCTAATCAAAAGAAATGATAAAATAAACATACATGCAAAATACATATTAGTAAAAGAACATAAACTTATGTAGAAGCAAATAGGAATATACTTATACATACTAGTAAATAGACAATCATATATATAAATATATATATTAAAAAATGAGGATATATCGCTTCAACTGAAATCAATCTTGTTCAACATTTTGTCTAGTACTGCACTTAAATTCATAAAGTCTAGGTACCATAGAGGAAAATTCATCAGAACAATTATCATGAAAATATTTATAGAAAAGGTACAGGAAAGTTATATTATGTTGGTGGGAAAGTGACTGAAGCTGAGATGACAAGTCAGGGCCATTGACATTAGAGATTTTTCTTTGGATTTTATCAAGAATCTCTAAATATATAGCAGAAGCACCAGACCATTTGTGATAGCAATGTTCAAAACAAGGAGAAATAGTAGCCTTATAAATATGTAGATTCTTGCAAGAAAAATTGTCTTGAATAACACAGTGAATCAACATTTCTAGCAGCTGGCCTAGCAATTGATTCAATATAATATTTCTACTTCATCTCAGTGAAAAAAGTTAGTCTGAGAAAGCACAATAAGTCACTCTCCTGGATGTTAACATCAAACTTGTTAATGGAAAGGAAAAAAGGTTCTCTCAGATGATTAAAAGAATGCAGTTGCATTTTACAATTAACAAACCATTCCTTGCCCCAGTTAATAACAGAATGTAGATCATTTTTTAGATCAGCTGCTTATTTTACCTTATCAAACTACTCAAACTTACTATTAAGACCGAAATAAATGTTTGTAAGATCAGCATCAATACTGAGTTGAGAACTGTTAAAATCAGGAAGATCAATGATGAAAATTAGGAACAATGTATGCCCAATGACAGAGCCCTTGGGGACACCTGCAGAAAGATCTAGAAGAGTGGCTGTTCAAGTTAACTTTCATTTCATTATTTGATAAAAAAGACTAAATCATTTCAAAAATTTATCCAGAAATACCATAACTTTTCAACTTGTGAAGAAGACTAATATACCAAACCCTGTCAAATGCCTTCAAGATATCCAAAGCAACAGTGCAAGCTTCACCATTCTTATCTAAAACTTGATAGATTTTCAGCAATACATCAGCAGTT